CGGGGCTGCCCCGCAGCGGAGTGCCGCCACTTCCTCCCCTCCGCCCTCTGCGGGACACCGCTTCGAGCCAAACTTTCGCTTAAAGCCCAACGGAGCGGCGCGATGCGGAGGGATTAAAAAAAAAAAAAAAAGAAAGAAAGAAAGAAGGAAAAAAATAGGAAAAAAAAAAGAAAGAAAGAAAGAAAGAAAGAAAAAAAGAGAAGAAGGTCGAGTGGTGCAGATAGAGGGGAGCTGGGCTGCGGGAAGGGAGCGCCAAGGCCCCGAGAATGAGAAACAAAAGGAGCCCGGAGCAGCCAGGCTTTTCCCTTCAAGCAGAGGGAAGGGTGCTGCTCTCCGTCTCCCTGTGCCTGCTTTCAGTTCTGGCCTTTCTGCCTGTTTTCTTTCTATTCTTTTTTCCCCTCAATCCTCCCCCCCCCCCCCAACTCCAATCCCCTCCCGTTTTCTTTTATTCTTTTCTTTTTTTTTTTATTCCTTTCTCAGGATATGAGGGGATGTTTAGAAAATCTGCTGCCCACGCCAGCAGCTGACTCATGTTTTTATTAAAGAAGGCCTGTGCCGAACTGACTCTGTGTATTCCCTTTGGACTCCTGCCCTGGCCGGGCCAGCACTGCCCCCCCTCGGCCCCACGGCCCCCAGCCAGGCACTGGGACCACCAACACATGCCAACAATGCTCCTCTGGGGGACCTTGGAGCGGTGGGTTGGTTGTTTTTGGAACGGGGAATAAAAGATAACATGCAACTGGGATGGCCTGGTGTGGGATGCTGGGGATGTGGGGATGGTGGTGGCCGGATGGGGTTCATTTGGGTGCTTAGGGGTATGGATGTGTCCTGTGCTGCTCTGTGCCCCAGGAAGGAGCCCAGCCTTCCTGACATCTCCCTGTCGTACCTAACAGCTCTCACCTCTGCCATCCCATCCCCTCAGCACCCTTGTGCTGAATGCCCATGATGTGCATGGTAATGTATCTGCACAGATCCCTCCACACACTTTGGTGAGCTCAAATCAATTTTCTGGCAATCTCTTGATGGACACAAATATAGTTTGTCTGCACTGGGATTTTTAGCAATTTGTTTTGCCTTTATGACAAAGTATAGAGACCTTCTGGATGGAAACTGTCTTCTGAACCACCCATTCTTGTCTTGTTTCTGCCTTGGAGATGTGCTTTATTCCGATCCAAGTATAAAAATACTATGAAAATGCAGCATCTCTCATGAATGAGTTTTCCTGAGAAGATGCCCTTCTTTCTCCTTTTTTCTCTTCCAAGAATGAAAAGCCCTTCCTGTAAAGACAGCACTGCTGAGATCTGAGGTTGGATTGTTTGCAAGGCACCATCCCCTTCCATCCTGCTGGTCCAACACGGCACAATGGGCACAGCTAATGATTGCCCAGCCCTGGAGATTGCTGCTTATCTCCACTTATCTCAGCACTCACTCTTCACTAATGAGCAGCCAAATGGAAGGGTTTTCTTTGGAGATCTCTTTCATTTGGCAGAGGGCAAAAAGATCCTGGCTGGTGGCATCCTCGGTTGTTGGCATTCAGTGGGGATCTGTCTTCAATTATTGGCATTCAATGGGGATCTGCGTTCTGATGGGGCTCAGAGCCGACGCTGGCGCTTTGCCATGCAGAAGAGTGCCCAAGAGATGGCTCATATGGGCATGTGGCTCTTTGTGAGGCTCTTCTCAAGGGATAAGGACATGCAGGGTGGGTCCCTCCGGGGGGGCACGTGTTCTGCTGGGAATATCTCAGCAAAAAGCCATTTCCCAACAACAACCCCATTCTCGGAACAGAAGAGGGAAAAACCTGATGGTGCAATCCTGTGCTGGGTCCTCTGTGCTGGGGATGGGCTCCAGGCACAAACAGGTCACGCAGATCCCCCTTCTCCTGCCTGCAAATAGACGACCCCGTGAACAACGCGGGCACTCAATCTTGCTAGGAATCAGCCAGGGTCGAGCAGTGATGCTTTGGGATGCGGCGAGCGCACGGCGCTGCACGTCCCCAGCCAGCAGCCGGGGCTGGTGCTGAGTTTGGGGTCACAGCAGCTCCTGGGAAAGGCCAACCCAAAGGAAGCCCCAACGCCGGAGGGACTCGCGCCTTGCGAGCGTGTGGGTGGAGGGGAGCGGCTCGCTGACCCCTGCTTTGCTCACCTCTATTTTGGGCTCCTGCACCTCCGTTCGTGGCACTTGTGGGACTTAGTGGTTCCCCCGGGACTGGGACAGCTGCAGGGGAGGCTGCCAGAGTTGCTCTCTGTGGGGGTTTGCAGACTGCAGCAAGGCCAGATAAGCGGAGTTAGTGCTAACGAGGGAGAGGAATGCTCCGTGGGGTTTGCACTGCTCGGGCATCACCAGGATCACAGCATCTTTGTGACCTCCATCGCAGGTTGAGATGGAAACCCAAGAAAGAAGGGCCACTTGAGCCAGGTGATTTGGCGGAGTCAGCAATGATTCTCCTGTGCCCACAAGTGGGAAGCAGGTAGGGAAGAAGCAGCAGATGATAGACTCATAGAATTATTTGAGTTGGAAGGAACCTCCATCTGGTGCGACTGCCCTGCAATGAGCAGGGTCTCACAGCTCCATCAGTGCTCAGAGCCCCGTCCCTGCAGACACTCAGTGTCAGGCTGCACAGGCTGTAGGTGTCCCTGCTCATTGCATGGGAGTCAGACCAAATAGACTTTAAAAGCCCCTTCCAACTCAAACGATTCTATGATTCTATGACTTGCTCTGATGTAGCGGAGGTGCAGTGTTGCGTTCCTACAGCCACTATCTGTCACCTCCCTAGGGTTCAGGCACTGTGATTAGGCAGTGGCAGAGGATGCTGCCCCACTGCTTCCCCTCCTCGCAGCCTTTCCGCCCCTATCCCACGCACTTTCCTCACCCCCACGATGAGCCCCGGTATTAAATGTGCAGCACAGAGCTCTGGAGGCAGCAGCAGGCCGGGGGGTGAATACTAATAGCAGTGAGTCCACTCGTCCCAGACTTTCCCACACATCTGCAGCCACTTAATGTGGGAATCGTTAACCCTCTGCTGACAGCCTGAACCAGGAGGAAGGAGTGAGTTTCCCCCACCTCCAACCACTTCTGGGACACCACGTTGCCTCCTCAGGCATCTCCCCATCCTGCTGAAACCACAGCAGAGATTCCGAACAAGCCAGGTGCAATGCAGGGCTTGGCTTCCTGTGGGGAATGCCTCCTCCCCAGAGCAGGGGCAGTACTCTGCCCTGCAGAGCTCCATTCCTGACAGCCTGGCCCTGGGAACCTCCCTTTCTGGCCCTCCTGCTTCCAGGAGATGGCATCACTCGATCATGGATAGCAGTGCTGAGCCCTGGGGAAATCCTGGCTGCTCCTCTTCTCACTGCATCAGTTTGGTTTCCACTGGGAATCTCAGGTGGGGAGGGCTGGAAGGAGCTGGGTTGGCACTGAGGGTCTCTGGGTGGGTGCAGAGGGTCCATATGGGGTTTTGCTGCCCCTGACCTGCTCTCCTGTGGAACCCCAGTGTGGGTGATGTCCCACCAAGCTGAATACCAAAGGGTCCCCCTGTTGTAGACAGTGGTCCCAGGGTCTCTGCAGGGCCACCCTCCACTCACAGCCATGAAAGGCTTTTCCCTGGCATCAGTTCTTCCAGCCACAATCCCCTCCGACAATACATAGGCCAAAGAGGAGGAAAAGAGGGAAGTTATCATTGGTTGATCTTTATGGCCCAGTTGTCATCCCCAGTCCACCCTGGAGCTGGTGGCATGCTGCTAGCAGGCACCTGGCCGTGCTGCTCTGTGCTGAGCCCTTCACCTGCTGCAGGAGGGTGCAGGTAGGGTGCTCATGGACCCATGGAGCCCTGCACCCACAGCCTAGCTATGGCTGGGACATGCCCAGTAGCAGCAGGAAAGCGCTTGTGTGCTGTATGCACTGAGCTCCTCAAACACAGCAGCTTTGCTGGCTTTGTTATCATTTTCCTTTTAACCCCATGAATCTGGTAAGCAATCCCACCGTCAAACCTCTTCACAGATTCATAGCTACAATTGCAAAAAACTGTGAAAGTTTGCTGTTTTATCCTCTTCTCTCAATTGCATCTTAAATCCTTTTTCCCTTCCCTTCCCTTCCGCATACACTGGGACCATGCAGACGTGACCAGCAATGTGCTGTGATGGCACAGAGGTGACCTCAGTCCCTCACCCCCTCTGGAGCAGAGGTGTGCCTGGCCTGCCTGGTGACAAGTGGATGGCCTCTGCTTGGGGACAGACGTGCTTTTGGGGCATGCATCCATAGAATCATAGAATATCCCAATGGAATGAACCCATAAGGATCATTGCTTCTGGCTCTGTCTGTCCATCCTGCTTTCTGTGGCTGGGCTGAACCTGGCTACAGGGCTCGAGGGATGGGTTTGCCCCCAGATGCTATAAATGGAGGGGGACCCAGAGCCACCTGTTCCCACCAACCCCATTTCCAAAACAGACAGATGCAGTGGAAAGCAGTGCTGGGGTTTGGTGTCCCCATCAAGGGTGATGGGGCAATTCCATTCGGCGGTTTATGGGTGATTCAATCCTTCAGCCAGGATTTGATGTGAGGGCTCAGCCCAAGCTGCCCTTCTCCTGGAGCACAAATGGCTTTAAGGACAGGGTGACCTCCTTTGGGGCATCTTCAAACACAATCCCAGCTGTGCCACACTGTCCCCAAAACCAGCTGGCATAAAGAGACCACAGCTGGTGGCATGGGGACAGCCCGATGCTGGTGACCACAGAGGGAACGCGGGGCGGTGGGAGGTTCGGATCGCCCCGCACCGCCGGGGTTCCTGCACTTTGAAATGCAACCCTGCCTTTCAATGCAAATGCTGCGAGAGGTTGGGCCCAATAAAAGCCTGTGGGCAGGGAGGTGCCTGGCCCCGGGACACAGCTCCCCAAGGCGCCCAGGTGAGCGCGGCGAAGGAGGGGCGGCCGCTGCGTGACACCCGGCCGCTTCGGCACAGAGCGGCGCAGCGCATCGGCACAGCATGAGCGCAGAGCCAGGTAGAGAAGATGTATGTAGGCTATCTTTTGGATAAGGACACCAACATGTATCCCAGTCCCGTCCGGCATCCCAGCCTCAACCTCAACCCCCAGAACTACGTGCCGGGGCCACCCCAGTACTCGGACTTCGCCAGCTACCACCATGTGCCAGGGATTAACAACGACCCGCACCATGGGCAGCCGGCGGCCGCCTGGGGCTCACCCTACACCCCTGCCAAGGAGGACTGGCACTCGTACGGCACCGCTGCCGCCTCTGCCGCCACCAACCCGGGGCAGTTTGGATTTAGCCCCCCGGATTTTAACCCCATGCAGCCCCATGCAGGCTCTGGACTCCTGCCTCCAGCCATCAGCAGCTCGGTGCCACAGCTGTCCCCTAATGCACAGAGGCGCACCCCGTACGAATGGATGAGGCGCAGCATTCCCAGCACCAGCAGCAGCGGTAAGGAAACCCCCAGCCCTACACCTGGACTCCTTCCTTCACATGGGAGCTCTCAGCTTGGAGTCCTGCAGGGCTCGATCCTGCTCTGGGAATGACCCCAGTGGGGAGAGATGTGGGGCTGGCAAGGTGGCATGGACTGAGGATGAGTGTGGAGAGCATTGGTGTACGGGTGACCCTGTTCTGGAGAATGAGAACTCTGCTCTGCACATGGGAAGTCCTTCTCATGGCCAGTCCAGGGTAGTCCAGGCTCATCGTCGTGGTGGTGGGGTGCTCCTTTTGGAGGAGTGCTGTGCTGTGTGTGTAGGGTGCTGCAAAGCAGTTCATGTGCACAGCTCACTGCACAGTCAGCGAGCACATAGGGGTGATGCTGCATGCTCAGGGTGCATGCAAGCTGCGGTGCATTGGGGACGGTGCCACATGCAGGGTGCGTGTGGGTGCTCTGGGTGTTGCATGGCACACAGCATTTGCACAGCTCCTGAGCCTGGCACTGGGCAGCCATACTGTCCCTGTGCCCTATCTCCTGTCCCCATGTCCCATCCCCTGTCCCTCTGTCTTATCCCCTGTTCCCTGTCCCTGTACTCTGTCCCCTGACCCCGGGGTCTTGTCCCTGATGAACTCCTGACCCCGGCGGGGTGGGGGGAGGTGGAAGTGTCTGTGCCCCGCAGCCCTCCGCCCGTGGCCGCCCCAATGCCCACTTCAAAGGCGGTGGGCAGTCCCCCCTCGGGGCCAGTCCAAATTGACACGGGCTTCGCTTTGTCATGGAGATGCTGCCGGCTCCTTTGGCATTGAGGAGAGGTGCGGGGAGAGCCTTTGTCCTGCCCTGCTCGTGCCCTTTCATGTTCCCCTCCGAGGTTCCCAGCCCGACGGCCGTCCTCTCCCTCTTCCCCTTGTCCGGGGCTCCCTGTTTGAAAATGGTGTAAAATGCCTCATTTGTTAGCTTGCTTCTGATTTCCTGGCATCACTGCGTTGGGTTGTCCCCATGCACGGTGCTGGGGATGTGATGGCCAAGAGCCACACAGTGACCTCATGATGCTGAAGGGTCTGGGCACGGCTATGCACAGCAGTGCCCACGTCCTCACTGTCCTATCCTCTGCTCCTCTGCCCCATCCCCAGGCCTCATTCTCTGGAAATTGCGTGGAAATTGCTGTGAGACTGTGCTGGGAGCTGGGGTTGTGATCATCCTGGTGGGAGCAGGGATTGTGGTGGGGCTGAGCATCCCAGGAGGTGGAAAGCAGCGAGTTCTGCTCTGCAAGAAGGAGGGAGAGGCAGGGTGGCATTTCCTGATTCATTTTAAGCACTGAATATAACTCTTCAGGAAAATTGCCCTCCTTCCTCATACGCATTGAATGGGAGCCCACAGCTTCTATGGGATCTGTAGGTCCAAACGTCTCAGTTTCTTCTGGGAAAGGTGAGAGGGAAAATGAAAGAGGGGAGGAAGGTATAAGAACACCTCTGGATGAAGGGAGTGAGAGGTAATGAGGGCAGAAAAGTTCCCCTGATTGAGTCACACAGCAACAGAGTGATTGAATTCTGGAAAGATCAGTTGTTGAGCAGTTTGTATCTCTTAGATTAAATGCATACAAAGGGACAAATGAGCCAGCTGTTCTTCCCTGCACGTGGAGGCAGAGAGGACTGGCAGGAGCAAAACCCCCTTGGTTACAGGGGACACCTCTGCAAACCCCCCCAGTCCTGGGGTTTCTGCTCATGGGACTGTGCAGCTGAATTCAAACCCACGGCGCCTGCCCAGGCTGCCTTTACATAAACCAAGAGGTGGGTTTGACATAGATAAGGGTGAAATGTTTTATTGGAATCAATAAACTGTACATTAATCAGTCTGGATGGGTTATACCCCTCTCCACGCTGTGGGAATAGGAAATGAATGCGCGGGCTATAAATACAGAGAGCTTCATTGCCAGCGCTGTAAATCATCAGAGGGCTGTAAATTACGGTTCCCTCTGTCTTCCCTTGTATAAACAGCCATCAGCCACGGCGTGAAGGTGCTCAGAAGGAGCTGTGCCATGCTTGGAGGCAATGTTATGCAGGGATGGAGCGTGCCAGGGGGTTCTGCTGGCGTGATGCAGAGCTGGGAGAAATTGATGAGAAGTCTCCCGGTGACTCAGTGCAGAGTCAGACCTCATGGGGCGATGAGCTGATATACCTGCTGCTGAGAATGTGTGTGCCTCACCCAGCAGGGCCAGCCACGGCGCAGGGCAAAGCTCAGCCCAGGTAACGGATGCTAAGTGCCCCAAATTGGGAAACAGAAGGAACAAGGTGTCCCCATGCCTCCTTTCTTCCCAAGCATCAGCCTTTTTTTGCTCATAAAATCTTCACGAGCACAGTGTCAAACCCTCACGCTTCCTCCTTATTCATAATCATTTGCAAACTTCCTTGTGAATGACACCCCTGCTCTATAAAAAGCTCAGGAAGGCGCTGGAAGCGGCAGTGTGCTGAACTTTGAAGTTCACCCCCCCCCACCTCGTTAGCTATGTAAATGCTGTGTGTAGCCTCCAGGTCACTAATGAGCCTGATTGCAGCACTGTGTTGCAAGGGAAAGTGTGCCCGAACATCCCTGGGGAGGTGAATGTGCATAGGGAAGTGCAGGATGAGCAGCCATGGTGGGAACATCCCGGGGTATGGATGCCACAAGCATGGGCAGAAGGCAATGCACCGAGTGTGCAGCTCTCCGCTCTGTTCCAGCACTGTTTTCACTGTTTCTGGCTCGGTTTTCCAGCTCTGCTTGTTCAGCCCTAGGAATGCTGGAGGAAACATAAAATCCCCATAAATGAGACACCAGTCCAGGAGAGGTTTGAGATGGGTGTCGGGGGTGGCTGGAAGACATGGTCCTGTTTTAGGGACACAGCTGTTCCCCAAGAAACCCTCTGCTCCCTTGGGTCACCTGGAGTGCTGCATGCCACCAGGGTCCCTATTGGTCCTCTCCCCTTAAATTATTAACCCACAGCCTGCTCCTGGCCTCTGCTGGGGTTTGCTGAGTGCTTAGCCTGCTGGCCAAGGTACAGGTGGTTTGAACTTTCTTAGAATTGACTTTCCTTGAATAAAAAGGTCTTCCCTGGGGGTACCTACGTGATGGGCTTGGCTGGCTAATACCCCGGGATTAGCTGAGGGACACTTAATGCTCTGGCCAATGGCCAGTGCTTCCTGCAGGAGACCCTTCAAGGACGCCCACCCCAGTGCTATTAGCTTTGTGATTCTCCTGGATAAGGGGATGAATCCTTCCCCTGAGGGCTGTGAAGGGGCAGAGAATCCCAGTGCCCACCTGGGCCCCCCACAGTGCCACCGGCTTAATCTGGAGTGGGGTGGCAGCTTTGTGCCCTGGGTCTGGCTGTGGATCCACACCATGCAGGCGATGCTCCGTGCCTGCAGCCCACATGTCCCTGCATTGTGGTCTTTGACCCAGCGCTGCAGCCCGGCTGGCGGCACTTGGTGAGGTGCTCATAAAACCAAGGAGCAGCCCCTGGAATGCGCTGGTTGCCAAAATAAAGGCTTGAATCACTGCTCTTCTGGGAAACGCTTGTCCCAACACCCAGCCTGGGGCTGCTGTTCCTTGGCTGGGGAGTGGGTCTGGGCTGGGGATGCTGGGCAGGGCCAGACTGCTCTCCCTGGCCCTGGGAGTCTGAGGTCTGTGGACTCAGCTCTTCCCTGCCTGCTCTGTTTCTTCCCAATCTCTTTAGCCCTGGGTGCCGGTGTCCTGGTCTGTGCTTCTTGGATTTGCCCTCCAGCATATGGGCCCTGCTCTTACCAATAGCAAAGCCATGGGGCTATTTCGAAGTGCAGAGTTTGATCCTCTGTGCGGAAGACTATAAAACCACTGGGAAGTGTGGTGCGGTTTTGTAACTGAAACATTCCCAGTGTGTGACATATCAAAGCCAAATGAGTTTTTATTGCCAGTGGGGTGGCACTGCTGCTTCCTCCGAGATCTTTGGCACCAGGAAGATCTCCCTGGCTTGGTTTGGTGTTGGCTGACAGCCCTGTGAGGAGCTGCTCTGGGGGCTGCAGGGCTGCCTGGCAGTGGTGGCCACAGCGAGCCCTTCCTGCAGCCCAGCATCTCACAGTGCCCATTTGTGCCACCTGGAGCAGGAGCCAGGGCAGCCTGGGCAGGGCCATCGGGTGGGGGCTCAGCCAGCATCCCCTCCCTCTGCAGTGCAAATAGAAAGGAGCTGGGGTAGATCCTCTCACACGGTTTTGGAAACCCAGCAGTTGTCTAAATCCAAGGGAAAAGATCTTGGCAGGATCTCATGGAGGTGGGATGTCCTCTGGTTGACAACAATAAGGGGGCCCATGTGGCTGCAGTCCTTCATTCCACGCTGATCGCCCCATCCATCACACCACGCTTCCTGAGGTGGCTGGGAAATACTTGAAAATACTGCATGGAAAGGGGAAGTGAAAGCCCTGCCCACTGGTTCCCAGCAGGCAGGGGTAGCGGTGGGGCTTAGACTCCAACAGTGTGGTGAGCATACTGGAGATGGATCTTAGGGGGTTCAGAGTGTGCATGGGGTGCTCAGGCTTTGGGGCCGCTATTTCCAGAAGGTTTGGGAGCAGTAACATGTTCTGGGCTGTCTGAGCTGAGAATCAGCACAGTGTGGCTGTGGTCCCCTCTGCTCAGCAGAGGGAGCATCGACCTCTCTGTGCAGGCACAGCTGGAGCACATCTGGCTGCCAGATGATGGTGACCCAGCTAGGAGGGTCCTGAGTGCTGGGAACAGACCCCAACCCTTGTTCCAGGGCTGCATCATGCAGCATCGTTCTGCTGGCTGCCCTCCCTTTTGCAGTGGGAGATGTGAGAGGGTGGAGGGGCAGTTGAGTTGCCCGTGGCTCTGACCCCACTCTGACTCCGCTCTGATTTGGTATTGCTTCTGTGACTCAGTTTCCCTACCCATATCATTGCCCAGGCTACACTGGGATAGGGGGAAAGTTTTCATAGAGAATTTTCCTGGGAAGAAATGGGAAATAGGGCTCTCATCCATGATGTGTTCCATGCACTGCTCTCAGACCGCTTGGGACAGCCCAATCTTTCCGTGCCAGCCATGCAAAGAGCTGCTGGGCAGCAGGGCGTGCAGAGCCTCAGCTCCATCCCCAGCAGCACCTCCCATGCTAAGTGCCCTGCACAGTGCCTGGCGCCCGGATTGCCATGTGCCTGTGTCCCCAGGCCTGGGGACCTCTGCAGCTGGCAGCGGCACGGCTCTCATCTCTCCAGCTCCACAGCCCTGCTTGCTGTGCTCTGACCTGATCGGAGCCCTGATGGCTGCGGTGGTGCTCAGAATGGAGCCAGGACTTGCAGCCACTGTAATTTTGAGCTGCTTTGACCTGTGAAATGGAGACCTTTGGGGAATAGCATAGGATTATACTCTTGCCTGTTTTGATCTAGCATTTGCTACAGCTGCCCTGCATCAGCCTCAAAACATCCCACCACTCCACTGCCCACCTCTTTTAGGGGGTCTGTGTCTTGTTGAAAGCCATCCTTTACACAGTCTAGGGCTGGAGAGGGTGAATTATAGCTCCCTAACAGCCTCCATCATCCTGTGGTGCCTTCCTATGCCTGTTTGTGACAGTAGCCCTGTAGGTGCAGAGCTGGAGACAGAGAGCACAGAGCTGGGGTTGGGTTTTCCTCTCCTCTGCCTCTGTTCTGGAGGGAGGGAAGCAATAATGCTGTGTCACTCAGGCTGCATGACCTCAATTTGGACACCCCAGAGATGCTATTAGTACTGTGGTCAAGGGCAGGGAACTCCTGTCTCCCTATCCTCGTCCCCATCCCCAGGGCTGCCATGTGGAGCAGATCAGGGCAGGGGGTCTCCCTTAATGTGTCTGTGAGTGCGTGTGCACACACACTCAGGAGTGTGTCCTCTGGGGCCTGTGCAGCACATTGAAGCTATTCCCTTATCTAATCGTGGCTCAGGTGAGGGCTATTAGGGTTATACATTAACAGCAGTAACGATGCCCTCTCCCCAAGCTTTGGGCCCTGCCTTGATCCCAACGCTGGAATCCTTCCTTCTGGCCCCACGGATGGCTCAGTTTGGCTGCTTGAGCTATTCCTTTTTCCTTCTGGGGACAAGAAGGAGGAAGTTTGAATGTGTGTTGGGGCTGGATGGTGCTGGCAGCAGGAGGACCCTTGTCCCATCCATGCTACCACCCATGGCCCCCTCCAACAGCCGTGGGCCATGTCCTGGCACAGCCCCAACCCCAGATTGCCCCATCCCACTGCTCCTCAAGATCCCTGCAGGCATTGGGGTCTTACCCACAGGTATGAGGGGTCACCATGAGGAGCCATGATGGCTCATCCCAAATTTCCTCTTTCCTTTCCCAGAGCCATAAAAGGGCCACCGAGGGCGAGTTAAGCGTAACCCAGCATTGATATTCAAGGTAGCCGCATTATTCATTGTCAATAGCATTTCTTGCAAGTTCCTTTCTTCTCCTTGTGAATCGCTCACAATACATTCCTGAATTCAGCAAACATCGCTGAAAACTGCAATTAGTCAAGGCGAGGAAATCTCCATCTCTGGGTTGGTGGCGAGCAGAATCTTTGCTCTCTGGTATTTGCAACGAGCACCCAGGGCTGCGCCGGGGTTCGCCAAGGACGAGCAACGACAAGAGAACAACAGAGCGCAGGCAGTGATGGATCTATTTACGGCTGCAGCAGGAAATAATAATCCCTGCTAGAATTCCTGGCAGATGCAGTATCCACAAACCGCCTTGTTTCGTTACTCTTTAATTTTTTTTAACGTTAGCTGTCAGTTCCATTGCGTTCCAGCTGTTTTTTTTCCACCACGCAGTGGCATTTAAATTGCAATATCGCAAATAAGATCACTTTTCAGTCATTATCTCGTCAGAAAGGGTATTGCTTCCAAATGAAAAAGGAAAAAAAAAAAAGAATTCATATGCGAAAGAAGATATCTTGAGCCCTGGTTCCAGGGGATGCAGTTTTCATCCCTATCCATGGCACAGCCTTGCTGTACCTCCACCTCCTCAGATCATGGGAATATGCACTGTGCTGGGGGCATGGGCAGGGCTGGACCACAGCTACCCAGTGCTATTGCCCACTGTGTTCTTCTAATAGGAAGCAGTATTGTTGGCACCATGTGCCAGCTATCTTCTTGCTCAGGTGAAATGTGGGGTTCAGTGGAGCTCTGATCACACTTGGGGAGACCCTAAGCCAGGTGCAGGCTGGTTATGGCCGAGCAATGCTGGCTATTGAGTCTACCACAGGGAATGTTTGTGCTTACTGTGGGCTCTCCCCACCATATCTTTAATAACTACACCATTCTTTTGTGAACACAGCGTGAGATGATGAAAACCTCTCTTGGTGGCAGAAAAATGCTGTCACTCCTGGGTTTTCCCTCTTTTCCTGTCCTGATCTGTGTGCCTTCAACTGATGGCACTGTGGGTTTGGGCTCTGTGGCACAGAGCTGGGCTTCCTGCAGCCCTCTGGGCTGGACTTGTCCAGGCAGCGTGTCCTCCGCCTGGGCTGCAGCTCTGCTCCTCTTGAGGTGATGATCATGGCGCATAGAATGTGGAGACCATTATCTTGGGATGTTACTGAACACCTCCTTCCCTCCCTACCGTGAACAGCCCCTATCCCCCGGTGCTTTCCAGCATGGAGAAACACCCTGGTGCTACCCAGGATAGGTATCAAACTCCATATGAGCCAAGGACTCCTATCCTCTGGTCCCACGTTCCTCCAGAGCTCTCTGTGTGCTCATGCAGTTCCTCCATGCCATCAGCGATGCTCCTGTCCCCCAGCCCTATCATCTCACTCTCACTCTGCTCTCTCTGCCAGGCAAGACGAGGACAAAGGACAAGTACCGGGTGGTGTACACGGACCACCAGCGCCTGGAGCTGGAGAAGGAATTTCATTACAGCCGCTACATCACCATCCGCCGTAAGGCCGAGCTGGCCGCTGCCCTGGGGCTCACTGAACGGCAGGTGAGTGCTGGAGATGGATTTGAGAGAGGGCAATGCCATTCCCATTCTGCTTCCAGCTCCCGTGGTGCCCCTGGGGTGCTCTTCCTTGTCCACGTGCCCTTTTTTTCTGCATGGCTATCTGTGTCTTTCCACAGGTGAAAATTTGGTTTCAGAACCGAAGGGCGAAGGAGAGGAAGGTGAATAAAAAGAAGCTGCAGCAGCAGAGCCAGCCCACCAGCACAACCACGCCAACCCCCCCAGCTGTGGGCACGCCGGGGCCCATGGGGACCCTCTGCAGTGGCAGTGCCCCAAGCCTTGTCTCCTCATCTCCGCTCACCATCAAGGAGGAGTTCATGCCTTAGCCCCCTCCGCCAGCCACAGACACTGAGAGATAAGCACTACATGGCAGAGCTTGTTGCTGAGCACCCAAAGACACCACGTCCCCTGGGGCACGGTGGCTCTGTCGCCTTCCCAAGAGGCTGATGAGCTCTGTCCTACACAAAGCCCCTATGTTAGGTAGTGCTGTTCTCCTGTAGGAAACATGCGCTGGTCTCTGGCATTGGTAGCCCAAAACCAGTGGGATGAGTCTTTAGGTGATGGTGGAGGACCCTTTCTGTGGAACATCAGAATGAGCCGGTGGGTTGCTTCCTGCACGGTCTTCCTGGTGGTCCAGCTGCCTGCTGCTTTGGGGCAGTTCTAGGGAGGCTGAACTAAAGAAAAGGCTTGGCTGGACTCAAAGCAGACAAATCTCATCTGAGATTGTGGAATCTGCCATGCCTGGAGCGAGTTGGACAGCAGGAGCTGGGTAGGACCCTCAGCACTGGGACTGGAGGGAGAATGGGGGCTCCTTAAACTGAGACAATGGCAATGAGCGTCCCCCGTGTCCCCCAGCTACCATCCCCAGCTCCATCCCTGTGGCAACAAAGGACCATCGTGAGACCTGCACACATCTGTCCTACAGATGGACCTCCCTATGGAGGCTTTGAGACCACCTTCCAGCGTGGAGGAACAAGAACAAGGTTGGCAGTTAGAACAGTGGACAACTCCAGGTTGCCCAGAAGGGCCACTCACCTACCCATGGCATTGCAGAACCTGCACAGCTCCGTGCTGCATCAAGGCACTACCAGCTGCCAGGACCATCATGGTGATGGGACATGTCCTTGTGCAAGATGATGGATTGCTGGCTTCTGAAGAGAGACATGGGTGGGTCTGTGCTGTTTACTCCAAAACAAAAAAGGCTCTGAGTTTTGCCTGCTTTGTACTCCTCCATCTGCTGCACCATTGGTAACCAATGGCTTTTTTTTCCTCCTGGAAATCAGAGTTAAAATTCCCCTTAATCCTTCTGAATCCTTGGATCTCTACTGCCTCAGCTACCTTACAGCACAGTTTTGGGTGCCCCAGAGGGTGTGCTGGGACACAGGAGGGTTTGAGGCTCCTACTTGGGGCTGTGGCTTCCCAAGACCAAGGTGAGGGTTCAGTGGCTCTCATGATCCTTTTCTAGCATCATCACTCTGAGCCCCGGCAGGAACAAGAAGTGGAGATGTCCCTGTTACCTGCAGAGTCCCTTGTCCGCTCCCAGCCCATTCTGGCCTAGAACTCACAGTGCTTGGGGTTTCGTACTGCACAGCTCCTTGACACCCACTGCACCTACAGCCCTTTAATAGGGTCTACGTCCCCCACCATGGGGACCAGTGACATCTCCCTGGGGCCATCACTGCTACTTTACACCAAAGGCAGACGCTGGTGTTGGCCTGGGACTTCAGCTCACAGCTTGTGTACAGAAGGCAGAACATTTTATTTTCTAGGCTTTGGTAAAAATAAAAGTGAGCAGGAGCCCTGTGAGCTGTGGGTGTGTTGCTGCCTCTCCCCATGTGCCCACATCGATGTCCCCAAGTGTGATCAGACCAGTGCCATCAGGGAGGGCATGGGCAGAAATATCTGGAGACAGCAGCCTGGCCCCATAGCCTGATTGCAGTGTGCTGTGTGTCCATCTCACGAGGGCAGCATGGCTGCAATGTGGCATGAGGCAGCTACGTCCTGTCCCTTGGGTACAGTGGGGATGGCTAAGGGACGGATGGTTTCCCGGGGACAGCCGGGAAAAGGGTGAGGCTGGGCCTTGCTGGTGCTGGAGGCCAAAGAACAAGGCCAGCTGCCCACCGACGTGGCTGCTGCTGATTGGTGCCTGCCCGCCTCTAATCTCATTTTATGGCTGTTGATGGGCTGAATATCCTCCTTGTCCAAGAAGAGCAAACAGAGAATGAGGATATGAGATAGAGCTTGGGACAGCTGGCATCAGTGCCTGGTCGTGACAGAGCTGGCACAGGTGGTCCCCACTGCCTGTGCTGTCCTCTTCCCCATCTAATTACTGCCTATCTCCATCTCAGCCACATCAGATTTGGGGCTGCCATTAAATTCCTGCCCAAAACAGCTTCTCCAGCCTCAAAACACACAAAGATGTGCTGGTGGGGCAGGTGGATGTGATGAAGGGTGAAGTCCTTCTGGGTAGAGGAGATAGAGGAGCAAAGGAGGGATGAGGCAGAGAGAAGGGCAGAGCAATGGTTTTTTTCTGTGACCTTACAGGAGTGGCTGTGCCCAGTGTTGAGCCCTGCTGAGCCTGGCACATGGCACAGCAGGGCATTGGTGGCTAAAACAGGCTGGAGAGGCAATGGAAACGGAGCTGGTGCCATAAAGGGAAAGGTACCGGGGTGGGTGGGTCTCCCGCCCAAGGAGCGGTGTGCCATTGGACACTTTGGTGCCTGCGAGAAGATGAGAGCCACACAGAGGGAAGATGCTCTGTCACACCCTGGAGAAGCTCCTGGTGCCGTTGACAGCATGAAATTCCAACTGATACCCTAATCAGGCGCCTGCCTGTTTGCACAGCGGGGTAAAAGTCCAGCGAGCTGTGGGCTGTGCCCTTGGGTTGCTGCAGCCTGTGTGTGCACAGGGAGCAGGCGCTGGCAAGAAGAGGCCATAAATACGCCCACACAGCCAGCACCCCTTCCCCCAACACACACACAGCCCTCAGCCCCGCTGACGAAATGCATCTGCTGTGTCCCCGCTCCCATGTCCTCCCCTGACTCTCTGCCATCATGCTGGCAGCGCCGTGTCCCCGCTGGCTTTGGCATGCACACTTGTTGGCTGTGCCGTACCCATATTTGCACCGCTGGCAGGTGACAGTCACTCAATTTCAGCAGCTATGGCACCTACCCCTTGAGTTGCACAGCCCAAAATTGCACCATGGCCATATGGGGACACTGGGTGGCACGGAAGAGGGACCCTGAGGGCTGTCCTCATCAAGCCCCTGTGCTTTCTGCCCATTACTTCCCCTGTGCTCACACCGCCTGCTTTTGCACCCTCCTTGGAGAAATCTTGAAATAATCATCAAAATAAGGCCACGCACAACAGGTGGCCGACAGCATGGCAGCCTCCGGCATGGCACAATTCCCAGCAGTGACGAACCGGAGCGCTGCTGCGGCTGCTGCCTTCCCTGTGTCCCATGGAGCAGAGCTGGGCACGGCCCCATCCTGCTGTTGGGTAACTCCCTGCCCGCCCCAGTGGAGGGCTGGGCTGTTTGTGTAGGGCTCGGCCTCTGCTGGTGATACAGGGCTGGGGCTGAACCACACTGCCAGCAGCTTCCCACCATGAGACTCTTCTCTCTAGGTAGATCCCAAGGGGAAAAAAAAAAACAATGGGCTGGTTCAGATCACACAAGCACGAAAGGCAAACAAAGCATCCCTGCCCCAGCAGGAAGGGTGAGGATGGGACAATGCGCCATGCAGCTCGGCGCAGCATTCCCCATAGCATCCCAGGAGAGGGAGAAGCAATGGATCACCCAGAGGGAAGTAAAAGCTTGGAGGCTTCCCAAAAGCTATGTAAAAAAAGAGATGTTTGTTGGATGATGTATTTTGCTCCTTCCTCCTTTCCCGCTGGGAAACCCAGGTAAATGTTAGCTCTGAAAGACCCACTGTGCAAACTCAGAGGCACTTCATCTGTGCTGGGTTTTGCAGAAATGTGTTTTCATGCTCACAGTCTGATTCCTTTGGGGGAATTTTTACAAAAGTGTTTGGGGGGCTGTAGGAACATGACTCCTGTTAGATAGCAGGGAGTTTCAGGGCTTCAGTCCTAGCTCTGTCTCTCTGCTTACCTCCAGCAGCTTCTGCTCAGCCTTAAAGTGGCTGGGGACACGTTTGGGTCAGGCTGAAGTACCACAAAGTGTTTGCAAAGAAATGGGGCATACACACTCCTATGGGCACAGCGCAGGGAAAGTGAAACACAAGAAGGAAAGAGGCATTGCCCTGAGGCAGCCAGCAGCTCTCCTTGTGGCCCCAGAGCATGTGAGATCATCCCCTCCTGCAGTCCTGCTGGGGACATTTGATACCACAGAAGGAGAAAAAGAGTCAGGGACCAGCTCCTTGCCTCCTCACCTGGGGTTTGACTGAGCACAAAGGGGAAAAATCCCAATCTCCTGAGCTCTGGGTCTGTGGGATCCCACTCAGCACGAACACTCACATTCTAGGGAGATGAGCCGTGCTGTAGGACCTGTCCCAGGATGGCTCCAGCCCCCAACACTGAGAGGCACTGGTCCTGCCCAAAGGGACTGAGGGCTGTCCTGGGCTGGGGGCTCCAGCTGTGTGCTGCCCGAAGGAAAATCAGCGCAGGGCTGGCCAGAAAGCTGCTGAGAGCTGCTGGACTTGCCTTGCTACCACCACCCCCTGGGACATGTGGGAGCCCCGTGTTCCCAGCAGCAGGCTGTCTGAGATCTTACACATTCACAGCACATGTAAAGCAGCATCCTCTCCTCCTCGCTGCTCTGCTTGGGGCCGAAGCCCCAGACCCCCCCCTCCAGCAGGGGTACGTTTGACAGACAGCCCTCCTGCAGCCTGCCCAGAGCCGTCTCCTCCCTCCCTCCCCGCTCAGCGTGCAGCCAGCCCCAACTCCAGGCAGAGCCTTCTGCCGGGCTGTGCCCCCCTCCACCCTTCATCCATCCACCCCGGCACCCCCCTCTGCCCGCCTGCTCTGCTCCCCCTTCTCCCTCCCTACCTCCGTCTGCGGAGTGAGAGAACAAGTGTCGGATCGGGGAGCGCATAGCAACAGGATTCTGGGATGAAGAAGATTCGGCAGCAGCAGCTCCGCAAGGTGAGAACCAATGTGGGAGCGCGGGGACATCGCGTGCCATTGCCCCATGGGATGCATGGCTGGGGGCACGGATTGCAAATTGGGTGAGGGGCATTTGGAGATGGGTGGGGGTCATTTTGTAGGGACTTGGTGAAGGGATGCATCCCCAGCCCCTGCCCCCAGGGGCAATGATTTGTGCCAGGGATGCCCGGGAGGGTGGGCACCAGGTGCTCGGTCCCACAGTGCTGCTCATGAGGATGCTGCCCCTTGATGTAGGGAGCTCGGGGGCTCCAGGTTCCCCCATGGGATCAGGACACAGCTGGGCTGCTTCTTCCCTACCCAAGGCTGGGTTTGAGGGTCTCAGGGGACCCAGGTGGTGCTGGATCCTGAGCTCCCCTTTTACCCTTTGGAGGCCAGTGGAGCTAGGAATCCTGATGGGAGCTCTTTGAGACCCAGCTCTCAGACTTCCCCATGCCAGTCTTGCCCTTCCAGTCTTCTGTCTGCCCCTGCACCAGGGACAGAGCCCCTTGCATTGCCCTTCCCACATGGGGCTGGGTGCTGTGGCGTGGCTGAGTGGCAATCTCAGCTCTCATGCTGCTGTTCCTGCATGTGGGTGCTGCCCAGAGCACACCCAGGCACTGCCCTTCACCTTTTTGCTCTGCCTGCTAACCGCAGGGTAAGGATGGCTCCAGCCCGTGCCCTGCCTCCAGCTGCAGGAATGAAAACCCTAAGAGTTTTGTCCATGACAGGAAATTCCTGGGATGCTGGGACATGATGTAAAAACCCAGTGCTGGCCTGGCACAAGGCAGCAGCTCTCTGGCAGCCTTCTGCTTTGCTCTGTGCTGCTGGGAGGCAGCTCTGTCCTCTCCCATTTCCTACAAATCGCTTTTTCAGATCACTCAGCAACTGCAAGAACCATTCAAAGTTCTCCTTGTCCCTCCAAAGGCCTTTCTGAGACGTGCAAAGAAATTTCTCTGCTGCTCACGGTCCTGTTTAGCATTTACTCAGGAATCCATTTAGTCCCACAGCAATCAGCCTGAATGGAAAGCAGATGACTCTGGAGTTACTTCCCCATCTCCGGTGCTGCTCGGGGCCCTTCACCATCCCAACCACTCAGAGCCCCGGGTGGAGGCAGGAGGAGGTGTCCCCTTCAGGTGGCAGGATGCCATGCCTGACCCTGGGCTGAGGTTTCTCTGGAGCTGCTGGAACCACTCACACAGCCCCACAACCCCAGCAGCCCCTCCTCACCTGCATCCGCTTCCTATTTGCAAGCCGGGAGTTTCAAGCCTTTCTAACAGACATATGGAAATTCCTCCTTAATAGAGATCTTTCTCGGGCTCTAAGGATTTTTGCTTTTGCATAATAGTATTTCCGTAAGGGCTGAGTGGATTTTATTTTATTTTTTTCCTACACGGGATTTCTTACACGCTTCAGGGATTATTTGGTGCAAGGGTGGGAGCCTGGCACTGGGATGTCCCCATTCCAACAGGTGCTGGGTGCAGAGCCTCCTTGTGCCATGCCACAGCCTGGCCCATTGCAGCCAGTGGATTTTTTTTCTGCGAGAGATTAACAAGCAATTCGAACTGATCCTGAGTGACTCACATGGCACAGACGCACTGTGCTCACGGCACAGAAATCTGCCTTTGGGTGGCATTTCCTCAGCCAGACGCTGTGGTTCACACACAAAATTGTCAACGAATCACGGACAAAACAACAAAATGATGCCAAAAGTATGAATCGAGGCAAAATACGATGAAAAAATCAACCTGGAGCTGGCTGGCTTCTCACAGCTCCAGCTTTGTGACTGTTGAGTTTTGTAGAGGTTTCATTTAAGCAAAGCAGTTTGCAGATAGTAATTAGCACAGGATGATTTCACTGTGGAAGCCAGCTCGTGTCTTACCAGAATCTCAAACACCTTTTCTTCTTGGTGCCCTTTACTTTGCTGACCTCTTGGGGGCATCCCCTGGATGCAAAGTGGTGCAGTGCTTGAGGACAGCGATGCCAGGGGAGCGGATGGTCCCTGTCTGTCTGTAACCGGTCTGAAAGATGGCAGCACTGCATGCAAAGCACTGGCACAGAGCTGTGTGTCAGCCTCTGCTGGGAGAGAAAAGCCCTGTTATGAGAGAGGCTGAAATAGGTTATTAGTCTTAAAAAAAAAAAGGGCTGAAAGAGAGCCTCAGCGTGAGATATCCACCTGAATCAGTGAGGTGTGCAGCTCTCTGTTGTCTGGGACAAAGGTGGTCTGGAATCCTTAAATACTGCATTTTGCAATTTGTTTTCATTCAGATATCAGCCCAGGCTTTGTGTGGTGGGTGAGGATCCGGGCAATCTGGGTGATGCAGTCTCTTCTGTGCCTCCCCTACCACTGTGCTCCCACTGCCCCACCTGCCACAGACCTCAGGGAGCACAGCTGATGTCTCAGCAGGGATGCTGCGGCACAGTCTGTCCACCGTCTGCAAGCATGGTTTGCTGTGGGTTGTGGCTGTGCACTGGGTTAATTAGAGGGTATGGCCAAAATGAGGAATTGCTTAATCAGAGAGCTCAGTTAAGGAGCTGCAGGAGGGCTGCCAGGTGGCAGCGGTGTTTTGTAGTGATGGTATTATATTTAGGTCATGGTTTCACTTTGCAGCCTGAAGCTTTTCCTCCAGCCCGTACCCTGTGGTTATGGCATGCAACAGGGATGGGCTTTTAGGGGTGGCTTCTGCAGCCAGGTTTGGGTTTTGATGCCAGCCTTTTGCTCAGGTGAGCACCTCAGGTTGGCTCTGGGAAGAGCTGCCGGATCATCCCACACCAGGTGGATTCACTTGGTGCTGGTGGGCAGGAGCAGGGTGAGAGCGTGCAGCCATTGCAGAATGGCTCCTGGTCTCCATGGGAACTGGCAGCAGGATCAGCCCAGGCTGGACGGAGAGGAGAAGAAGGATGAGGAGGAAAGGGCTGTGCCACCTTGTACAGACACTGCATCCCAATGGGAAGGAGGACCCACAGTTCTGAGCTTATCCTCCCACATCTGCATCTCAAAGTCTGGCTCTCTATGGTCTATGAATTCAGGCAGAGATGGTTGTTTTTCCCTTTTAAGACTCCAGAAGAAGGGGAATCCCCCTGCCCTGGTCCTGGTGTCCTGTTTGCAGGGACACCTCTGTCCTCTTGCCTCACTGGAGCTGAACCCAATGCACCCCACAAGGAGAGGGCTCTTCCCATGCCATACTCACGTTCGTGTTTTGAAGATGAGAATACATTGTCGTGGCCCCTTGAGATGATTTCTTGACAAAACTGCCTTTCTCAGAGAGCTCTGGCCATGTGGGATGGATTTGATCCCCTTACAAAGGATGTCAGCTTGCTTTAAAGCCATAGGCTTGATGGTGTACAGAGAACCACCAGAAAGGAGACAAACATCATCACTGTGACTTAGTGGTCATGAATTTACACCTCTCAGAGATCCTTCCTTCCCTTCTTCCCCTGCTTTACCCCTGCCTTCCATCCCTGGCCATCCTCTCCTATTCCTGCACCCTCTCTCACTCAGCCAGTGACACCAGAGCTCCTGGTGAGCCCCAGCAGCCCGGATGGAGAGCTGGGCTCCCAGTGCCCAGAAGACAGAGGGAACTGGACGGGACGTCTGGATTTCCTCCTCTCCTGCATCGGGTACTGCGTGGGCCTGGGAAACGTCTGGAGGTTCCCCTACAGGGCTTACACCAATGGAGGAGGTACTCATGCATCCTTCCAGCCACGTCCCCTTATCACTGAGTTGGGCAGGTCCCTGAATAGACAGCCCTCCCCCATCTCGGGGCTGAGGAGCAGCAATAACTGGAGAAGATCATGGTGGTGTTTGTGAAAGATTTGAGGAGAAAACATTTTGTGTATGTGGGCAAAGCAAAGCAAGGTGCGAATCACACACCAGGGGCACGGTGCCCTCTGGGATCTGGGGTGGGTGGTATTGTGGGGAGCTGCTGCTGCCCCTGTCTGCAGAGTTAATATTCTGGCCCCTTCCTGGGAAGGCAGTGGGAGGTTGTGGTAAGGATATTTTCCTTTTACTAGGTGGGCTTTAGCTGTTCACTCCGCATTAATTTCAGGGTTGTTTTCCTTTCTGCTTCCCGTAGGAGCTTTCTTGGTTCCTTACTTCATCATGCTGGCCATCTGTGGGATCCCCATCTTCTTCATGGAGCTGTCACTCGGGCAGTTCTCCAGCCTGGGGCCGCTTGCCGTCTGGAAGATCAGCCCTCTGTTTAAAGGTGCGTGAGTGAAATCCAGAGCCCCCGCGGTGCTTCCATGAGAGCTACTGGATGGGGCCATGGACCAGAATCCTCATCCCACTGTCCTCAAAGGTTAAACGCTGGGGGAAAATGGAGCTGGTCAGGCTGCTGGGTCAGCCATTTGGGTAGCTGCAAGATACGTATGAGCTACCTGTCGTCAGAGTCTCTGCATGTCCTCATCAGCTCTAGAAATTATATGAAATTGTATGAAAAACTGAGTCAGACAGTGTACAAAATACAGCACTGAAGCTAAGCAAAGGCTGTTAAAAAGGTAAGAACAAAGTGTTCAAAAAAAGTTCAGATCAAACACTGAGCTGGAGCAAAAGTCTCTGTATAATGCCTGAAAGAAGGTTGTAGTGTTGCAGGGGTTGATCTCTTCTCTCAGGTTGCCAGTGATAGGACAAGAGGGAATGGCCTTGAATTGCACCGGGGGAGGTTCAGATTGGATATTAGGAAACATTTCTTCTCAGAAAGAGTGGTGATGCAGTGGCACAGCTGCCCAGGGAGGCGTTTGAGAACTGTGGAGATGTGGCACTGAGGGACGCCATCAGTGGGCATGGTGGGATGGGCTGGGGTTGGACTTGGGGATCTTAGGTCTTTTCAAACCTTAATGATTCTATGGAATAGATTATCAATTCACATGCAGAGAGGTCAATAAAGGAGATTCCCCAGCAGGTGAACCTCTGCCTTGGAGCTGGTTAACCATGTGACTGCTGAACCCCAGTGTCTGACCCTGGATATGGATGCACTCTGCTCCGGAGAGATGGCTCACTTCTTCTTTACCCTCTCCTTCCTCCAGGCATTGGCATGGGCACCATCCTCATCGTCTCCCTGGTGGCCATTTACTACAATATGATCATTGCTTACGTTCTCTTCTACCTCTTTGCATCCCTCACAAGCGACTTGCCCTGGCAGCACTGCGGCAACTGGTGGAACACTGACCTGTGCCTGGATCATCGCATCCTCAAGGCGGGGAACACCACCCTCCCCGTCAACATCTCCAACACCGTCAGCCCCAGCGAGGAGTACTGGAGGTGAGGAGGTGTGGAGAACAGGGAGAGAACAAGGATAGAAGGTGGGCACTCATATTGTGGGTGCAGTGACGAGCTCACTGTCAGCATTGGATGTTCAGCCATTGGGACTGTGGGATGTGCCCATTACCTGGAGTTGCTTTGATGGCCTGGAAATACTTTAGAAGGAAATGTATCCCACAGCTGGACCAGCCAGGACTCACTCATAGCCAGGCTTCCCTCGCAGCTCTGCAGCGCACTGTGGACAAGTCCCACCGACTGCTCAGCAGCCATTCTCTTTTCGCCCTAGCCGCTACGTTCTGCACATCCAAGGGAGCTCCGGGATCGGGGATCCTGGCAGGATCCGCTGGAACCTGTGTCTGTGCCTGCTCCTTTCTTGGACTATTGTGTACCTGTGCATCTTAAAGGGAGTCAAATCCTCTGGCAAGGTAAGGGCTGGATGGTCTCTTCAGGGATGTCTTCCTGTGTCTGCATTTCTCCTTGCATCTGGGAAGTGAGAGCCATAAATATTTGCTAGACATGGGCTATTTGGGGGTGGCTTGAACACCCTGACACCAACGCTGCTGGCCATGCTGCATCCCAAGGACCTCAGCACTGCAGGTGATTCTGGGTGACCCAGTGTCCCATCCCAGGATGTGCTATAGGGGATCAGGTGCACTGCTCCAGCTCTGCAGCCAGCTCTGCTCTCCCACAGGTCGTGTACTTTACTGCCACCTTCCCATACCTCATCCTGCTGATGCTGCTTATCCGTGGTGTGACACTGGAGGGGGCCTGGAAGGGAATCCGCTTTTACCTCACGCCCCAGTTTGACCACTTGCTGTCTTCCAAGGTGAGCAGGGCTTTCAGTAATTTGCCCGAGACACAAAAATGAATATTCTCCTGTCATCTCCAGCACACAACAGAGGCAGTTCCCCTGCCTGTGGGTCTTTTCTGGCCAGCTTCTGGCCCAAAGTTCTCCCCCTCCTCCACCAGACCTAAAACATTTCCAGTCAGCAGCTTGTCTCTGCTCCACACGTTGCCTGTGCTGTGCTTCCCACCCCTATGTCTCCAGGGGGTTTCCAAATCCAGGCTCTCCTTCACTTTGTTTCCCCTCAGGTGTGGATCGAAGCAGCCCTGCAGATTTTCTACTCCCTTGGGGTAGGCTTTGGGGGCCTCCTCACTTTTGCCTCATACAACACCTTTCATCAGAACATCTACAGGTAGGAGCCAGATACCATCTCCTCAAAATCATAGCTGGGGAGCCACAAAAGCTTCAGCTGTTCCCTACTGCAGGCACAGGCAGAGAGGAGACTCTTGGTGCTGGGCTGATTCCCTCCTCAAGGGAAAGCAAGTTTGGGAGAAACCCCACAGCATGACCTGTGTCATTAGATACAGGTTCCTGGTACCTCTGGAAAGTACCCACTGAAGGAGGCCCTTGGGAGAATCGCATTGCAGCGAAACCTGGGCTGGCAAGGCCACCCCAGCATGGGGCTGCTATGTTCAGAGCGTTTGCTTTCTTCTCTGTAGGGACACCTTCATAGTCACCCTGGGCAATGCCATCACCAGCATTCTGGCGGGGTTTGCCATCTTCTCTGTTTTGGGATACATGTCCCAGGAGCTCGGGGTCCCCGTCAACCAAGTGGCCAAAGCAGGTGAGGTCAAACAAGGACCTGTTTTCCCGGAATCTCTGCCAGGGCACAGCAAGGAGCTGGGAAGGGGAGGTGTGGGGCAGATCTTTCATTCCCTGTAGCACCTTCAGCTGGGATGGGGGAGATGGGAAACTTCCACCCCACTCAGGCACGGGGATGAAAGGCAGCTGAGGATGTCAGTGTGAGGGATCGAACTGCAGGCTTGGTTGTCCAGGAAAGGGAAGGGGGAAGATTGCTCCTTGCCATGCAAATCTTAAACAGCACTAAGTGATGCCTAACAATGGCATGAACAAGAAACAGGCTTATTCTGCACCTCGACATCTTCTCCTGCCCATCTTGCAGGGCTGTGGACAAGTCCCCACTGCAGTGTCATGCTGCTGGAGCCTTCTTTCCTCCATGCCCTTCTCTGTCACCCCCTTTTCACCCTGCTGTCCTTTACCTCCCCTAGGTCCTGGCCTGGCTTTTGTGGTGTACCCCCAGGCCATGACAATGCTCCCCCTTTCTCCATTCTGGTCTTTCCTCTTCTTCTTCATGCTGTTAACCTTGGGCCTGGATAGCCAGGTAAGGACAGAGCCCAGCAGGCCAGCTGCAGTGACAGGCATCCCAGGAGGATCAGGGAATCCTCTTTTCCTTCCCATTCAGTTTGCCTTTATGGAGACCATCGTGACGGCAGTGACAGACGAATTTCCCTACTACCTGCGACCAAAGAAAGCTGTTTTCTCAGCTGCCATCTGTGTTGGCCTCTTCCTAATGGGACTGATCCTCACAACAGAGGTAAGGTGAGGGGATGGATGCACTGGGGACTGACCAGGGGTTCATCCTAAAGACAGAGACAAATATATTCATGTCAGCTAAAAAGGTGGGAGAGAGATGACTGATGGGGCTGGGTTCCTTGCGGATGTGAAGTCCCACAGGGAGTAATGCAGCATTACTGTCCTTGTACCAACCCCAGAAGAGAAGTGATGTCTCCTGAGGCTGCCAACATGGGGCAAGGGGTGTATGATCCCACAAGTGGGAGGATGTAGGTAGGATTTTATTGGGATGCTGGTCCCAGAGATGCTGGTCACTGTGCTTGGACTCTGCAGGGCGGGATGTACTGGCTGGTCCTGCTGGATGACTACAGCGCTGGCTTTGGTCTCATGGTGGTGGTGATCACTACCTGCCTGGTAGTGACACGTGTCTATGGTAAGAGGGTCTGTCCCATGGGGACATGGGGAAGAGCGGGTATGACAAAGAGGGGGGGTAGAGTGACAAAGAGGTATTTGGAGGGAACAGGACGGGAGCCAGCAGCCTCACAGTGTAACATGAGGCACCTCTTCTTGTTTCTCTTTCACTGGATTCGCTTCCCAGAGATATCTGTGGGACTGAGCCTGGTCCCTCAGACCAGCTGGGTCCTCCTTCCTGCATTTCCAGCTGGGAGGAGAAATGCTTCTTTGCTTCTAGAGGAAAATGCTCTTGCCGTTCTGGTCCTGGGAGATGGCAGCTGCTGAATCCTTGTCCCTGTCCCTTCTCTAGGCATGAAGAGGTTCTGCAGAGACATTCACATGATGCTGGGCTTCCAACCAGGGCCCTACTTCAGAGCCTGTTGGATGGTCCTGTCCCCAGCTACGATGATGGTAACTACTGGGCTAGATGGTGCTAGAATCCCTGGTGACCTCCCCTTGTCACAATTTGCTCTACTGACCTCTCAAAGGACCGCTCTGGTTCTGCTGAGACCTTTGGGGAGCTCTGAGCTGACTTGCTTTCCCCCCACCCCACAGGCACTGCTGGTGTACAACATCATCAAGTACCAGCCCTCTGAGTATGGCAGCTACCGCTTCCCTGCCTGGGCTGAGGCCCTGGGCATCCTTATGGGACTCTGCTCCTGCCTGATGATTCCTGCAGGCATGCTCATGGCTGTGCTGCAAGAGGAAGGGACGCTTTGGGAGGTAGGAGGCCCTGAAGCACCCCAAAAATGTGAACAGCTGATCCTGAGCCCCTGCCATCCTGTGCTGTCTGGTGATTTGCTGCCTGTGAAATGCATGGAGTGTTGTTCCTTTCATGCGGGGAATAGAGACATGTGGGACTTCACAGCCATTTTGCAGTAGAAAAGGCAAAACAAGGAAGCAGTGGTGCAGAAAGGCTTTGCCCAGGGGCAGGCTGTGTAGCTGCTTGCAGCATCCCAGCCTGGGTTTTACCTTGCTGCTCTCCCCCGGCTGCTATGAGCAGAGCTGCAGCGCTTGCTGCCCTCCCCAGGCTGCAGCCTTTGGAAGGAGGAGCCTGGTCCTGGGCACGATGACGTGACCAGGAACCACCTTGATGGATGCTAACCCATTACCTAGAAGGATCTAATTCTACACCATAGCCCTGCACTAACTCCCCGCTCCCACAAGCCTTCCCCACCATCCCATGCAGACCAACAGACCGCTGCAAAGCACAGAAGGGCAGTGAGACACTGTTGCTTTCCCCAGATGCTGCAGGACAGTCTTTTGGCCCCTTCCCACCACTCTAGGGCTCATCCCACAAAGGATATGAATGATAGCGGGGAGCACAGCAGGTGCCACGCCACAGTGAGCACCCACACCCCTCTACCCATCCCTTCACAGCGCTTCCAGCAAGCCAGCCGTCCCACCATGGACTGGGGCCCATCGCTGGAGGAGAACCGGACCGGTACATATGTGGCCAGCCTGGCTGGCAGCCAGTCCCCCAAACCACTGATGGTCCACATGAGGAAATACGGGGGCATCACCAGCTATGAGAACACGGCCATCGAGGTGGACAAGGAGATCGAGGAGGAAGAGGAGGAGTCCATGATGTGAGGGGATAAACTCTCCTCTTTACACTTTAGCACTTCGAGCTGGCTCAGGGCTGGGGAGGCTTTTAGGATCTGCTGGCCCTGCTGGACCCCTCACCACCACCCCAGCCCTGCCAGGACAGAGATGCTGCCTGTCCTGTCACCCCTAAGGTATTTGTGTTCAGTGTGGCAAGGTGTACAACGAGTCCATATGTTCATGTGACAATGTCTGTGCAAGCATCTGGGTTGCCCCAAGCCCTTGGCCCCAGCCCAGGGATGCCCTCAGAGACACCCCAGCAAAACCAGGGTGCATCAGCATCCTGCTGAAATCTGACCTAATAAATGAGCAGTAAAAATAGTAAGAAGGAAATAAAGCGCTTTATAAATAAACTGGCCTGGGACATCCTGAGATTGTAGGTCCGTACAGGGGCAGGGCTCAGGCAAGATGAAGAATGGAAAGAGGCTGGATCTCTGGTTCCCCATAAATGCAGGAGCTCGTGCACAGGAGTCAACCGGATCCAGCAGCAAAGCATGCAAGTGCAGCTGCCCCAGGGTACCTCCTGCCTGGGTAGAGGAAGAGGAGCTCACACAGCATCCATAAGGGCACATCCAGAGGGGATTCCAGGCACGTGGGGCACAGACACCTGCTGCGTTGTCCAACGCATCTCTGTTCCACTAAGGTAAAAACCACAATGAAGGATAAACAGAAAAATGAGGGCTTATGTCTGGGTTATGCCTGTAGCCCTGATGTACTGGGCTCTCTCCAGGGCGAACCTGGCACGAGGCTTTTCTGGCATGGCCATGTCATCACGTCTCCCACGTGTGCCAGGCTCCACTGTGCTGCACAGCACATAGCCACCTCGGGGAGAAACCAGCCAGCCCTCCAGCAGCACCCAGCAGCAGTCTGTGCTGCTCCTCAGTGTCCCTTCCCTCTCACTGTGGGGGATTTAATTACTGCCTTTGCACCTCTGGGTCTGTAGGGATGTTCTCCAACGTGCCTTTCTCCTGCTGCTTTTCTCTCCACGCTGGAGGCACTGAGCACAACTCAGCTCGCTTCCCAGCTGGCTCTGACCTTTATTCTTCCTCATCAGACCCCTTCCCTGGGCCCGCTGGGCTGTGGCAGTGCGACCGTGCCGCAAAGCACCTCCGTCCGCTATTCCCTGGGTTAATCATTAGAGGCCGGCCATAAAAGTGTCGCTGATGGAAAGTTCAGGCTGTGGCGGCTGGGGAGCGGGGAGGGCCTGCCATAAACATTTATGGCCCCAATGAATCCTCGCTCTAACCTTGACACTATTTGCTGAGCGGGAGGCCTCGGGAGGTCACGGTGCTGCCCAGCCACCGTGGTGTGCGGGCCGGGGGACCCCAGCCAGCTTGGCCCTGTTGAGAGATGGATGTGATGGAGCAGGAGGTGGGCTTGGGCACTTCATGGCACCACTGCTGGCCACGGAGCGCTGGAGGCACTTGGAACACCCTCACAGGATGTGGAGATGGAGAATTTTTGAGCTGGGCACTCTGCTCTGGGCTCTGCATGGCTCCATGGGGTCCTGGCCCCACATTCCCCCATGGAATCCTACAGGCTGCATGCCTGCCATCGCTTGGAGGTGCAGTGTGAAGGACGGGGCAGGGACACATCCCCTGGGCACAGCACACTGGGACACAGCACTGCATCCATCCCTACGCCTCCACGCGTTCCGCCCTCTGGGGAACACCCTGCTCTGCCACCGCATTGACCTTGCAGCAGCACTTTTTGGCACGGAGTGACGGAAATACTGCCAAGGGGCAGAGGTTGGCCTCGGGACAGGCGCTGCCTGCTTCCCGCAGCACAGCCTTCTGCTGACACCTCGTGGGACCGCAGCACCACTGCAGGCGCGGAGCCGAGCCATGCCACGCGGCCCCACGGCTCCACATCACCCCTGAGTTCCTCCTGCTGCCCTCAGAGCAGCCCAGCGCTGTGTTCCCATCACCCTGCAACGGGGACAGCCAGGGCTGGGGGTGACGTGAAGCTGCCACGGTGAGCCCAGGAACCCAGGCTTTGCTCTAAGCCTCACTGCTTTCAAGGGCAGCAACGGAGGGATGCAAATGGTCTGAGTCACTGCAGTGACGGAGAATCACCCGTTTCCATGCTCAGAAGTTGTTAGCTATTTATTGCACTTGAACACCAAGAATAAAACGGACAATCGCCCTCCCGCCCCGCGCCCGGCCCCCCCGCTGCCCTCCCACGTATCGCATCCGAGTCGAACAGTGATCGTTCCGTTTGCAGCCACAGGTTCTGAAAACAAAGGACAAGGAAACGATACCGATCCCTCCCCCCCCGCATCGAGAGCCCACAGAATCCAACGTGGTCGCACTGCTCGAAGGATTGAGTAAGCATACAAAAGGATAAAGGCTTCAGCTGCAACCGTATGGACTTACAGACACAGGGGATGAGCAGCCACCCCTCCCCAGGGCCTGGTTTATGTTGCTTGACAAGGCTTAGTATACTCTTAATTAATATATATATATTTTTGCAGTCATCTTAAATAAATATTTCCATAGAGAATTCCTGTATGCATATATATATATTTTTATATATATATAATATGAGAGAGATCTTGTTTTTTTTTTCTTAAACCACTGTGAACGTATTTTCCCTGCTTGTCCAAAAAAAAATGTTACAAAAACCCTAAAATTGTGCAACAGTTAGAAAAAGGGGACAACAACTCAAGGAAGGAAGGAGCCACTCGATACGGCCCCCTCCACACCCCCTCGTCTGTACCTAAGGGCAGAAAGGACTGTCTGCTGAGGAGGGTGGCCTCTGGGGGACAGATGGCACAGAGGCCACTATCCCCTACTGTGACGTGTCCACAGCCCGTTCAAAATCTGAGTTTCCCTGTCTGGAATGAAAGGGCTGGGGTCTGCATTTTTGGAAATGGGCAATGGCAAAGTCTTCGTCCAGCTAGCAGGAGTGCGTCGTTTGCATCAAGACGGTTCTGTAGACCATGAGAAGTGTCCCGTGATGGAAGGTGAAGGGTTAGCCCAGCTCCTGGGATGATCAGAGGATTTGGTTATGGGATTTTCTGCTGGCAGACAGCTCTTGGTCCATGGGGCTACACAGACAGTGTAGCTGCCCTTTGAAACACACCTCTGCTGTTTGCTGGTGTTTCTCAGGAGTCCATGAGCTCCAAATGCTGCCAGCTCCATCCTGCATGCCTCCACAGGGTCATAAATTCAGTTGGGCAGAGGGAGACAAGGCAAATTTGTGGGGTTTGGTGCCTGGAAAGTGGAGCATTTATTTGGGAAGGGGAAAGAGCTGTCCTGGCTGTGCCTGCCTAGAGGGAGGAGCGGAGCATTTGCTCTCTCCAGCAAAGAGCAGAGGCCCAGGGGTGGCTTTTTCTCCTTCCAGAGTGGATATACCAGCAAGACCTGAGAAATGAAGGTGTTGCAGCTGAAACCGGACCTTGGCAGTCCAGAAAGGAAAAGGAGCAGCTCCCAACTCCACCTGTGGGTCTGGGAGCCTGAGAACACCATAGCAAGTCCTCAGATTCAGTTATCTGCAGTGGTCTCAGAGATGAAAGAGATGACAAATTGGAGGACTTCTGAGTTTACACTGACCTGGATGGACAGACAAGTCAGGCTGTACCTGCACTAGGATATTAGGTGATCTCTGGCCTTGAGGATACTGGGGACAGGAAGACCATGGCAGTGAACTCCATCCCAAGAAGGTGGCATCATCCATATTGCATATTGTAAACATCTCCTGGACCTTGTCATCACTTGATGACAGAACTGTGGTTGTATTGCTGGGGCAATACCAGATAGCATGCAATACAGTTGGTGCCAACAGCACAGTCTCTAGCAAGAACATCTGGTACAGATGTAACTGCAGCATCCCTTGTTCTGCAAGCCAAAAAAAGGCTGTGGCATATGATTATGTTGATTTTTTATAAGGTTTTCCTGTAAGTTCAGGCAAAAATCAAGAAATGCAAAGGAAGACAGGCAAAGTTTTTCGCAATGGCTACTAAAAGAAAAGGTGTTGGCTTATCAGTGCTTGTTCAGAGATGTTCTGGGGATACAGAAACCTGTTCTGGAGAACCAGGGTGAAATGGGGAGAGAAACCAGGCAGAACAGACCTCTAAAGTGCAGGTGCTTAATGCTGCCAACTTAGGCAGGTTGGGAAGTTGGGTCTTCCTCGGTCAGGCTTTGGCTTGACTGGAAGACTAGAAACAATTGGAAAAAAGACTATACTTCCCTTAGAAGAACTGGGAGCATTTTGGGTGTTGCAAAGACATCCAGGTGCCTCGCAAAGAACCTGTCCTTGGAGAGATGACGGTAGGGAAGCCTCAAGGAAGAGAAATCACCTCCAAAAAACAGCTCAAAGCCTCTCTGGAAACCAAGATATTCTCCTCAGCCAGCAACTGCTTGAAGTGGGCTTCTAGTAAAAGGACACTGCATCTACCCCACCATCCCATCCGTCAGACTCAACAAACCCTACACAAGACCTGTCCCAGCCCTTTCTCCAGCACTTGTCTGCTGGAGCAACTTCCCAGAGCTGTTGGCAGCTCCAAAACTAGGCTGAGCCTCACAGCATCCTGCTTTCCTATCAATTTCACACCCATCTGCAGTACAGCTCTGACATCAGGAGGTGGATGAGACCTTTGCCATGGCTGGCTTCAGAGCCAATGCTGGGGAGGAGGGAGAACCATGAAAGAGCTGAGTCCTTCCTTTAAAAATGAAAAAGGAAAGAAAAAAAAATCAGCACTACGCAACTACAGGAAGAAAAATGGGTCTGTGAAAGCACCCCAACTCTGTCTTAAAAGCTCATTCTCTCCCTGAATAGATATCCCTGCTTTGGGGGCAATTCTTGCAAGCCAACATAGCTCCACAGTCAACCAGCAAAGGTCCACCAAAGGCATGGGGACATACACTTGCATCCAAAGAGGACCATTGAGATTTCTTTCCAAAAAAGTCTCTCCTATACAACATTGCCAGCAACAGTCACGGTCCCTGCACAGTGAGACACAACAAAAACTTCTCACAGCCTCTCAATACCCCAACAGTTTGGATTCCTGCCCCTCCATCCAGTAGGAAAATATTTTTGCAGTCTGCAAGGACGTGGCTGCATTTCGCGAGGCAGCCATCCCTGCCTAGACAAAGAGCAAAGCATTCAAAACCACAGAAAAGGCAAAATACACACCCAGAATTTACATGGAGAAAACATTTCCTTTTTTTTTTTTTTCCTTTTTTTCCTTTTTTTTTTTTTT